TGCTCCGATCAGATCGGTCTCCTCCATTTTGTAGATTATTTACGATTTTTGAATCCACATAAACACATCGGCAAAATCCGGCTCACTTTGAGCATGTGTTTTAAACAGTTTAATCCCTTTGTGAATTGTTTCCACTTGCGCCGTCCTTTAATTTCTTCATACAGCGGGAATCCAAATTAATTAACCCTGAGTCCAATAACCATCAAAGTCACTCCAATAGTGCTCCTTAATTACGCTTTCATCCTCCTTTAACGAAATACTTTACATTCATCCAGTTTGTGACAGTAGTTGTAGCATTTTTGAGACTTTTACATTTTAATTACCGCTGTTGCCTTGTCTTTTCAAAAGCAGATCCAGGATATTGCAACACATCACTTTCTGTAGCACATATTACCCAGAAATCAAACAGGTGTGGCAAAGATGACTTCTTGATAATTTGCAGAACAAGTTCCAACAGCATTTCATGTCTTAAGGGGCTAATCCAAAGTGTATCAGCTACACTGAATGATACCCTGCTGTTACTGTGATGTTTGAACTGCTTCTGTCTGGAAGTGTGTTTTGTTGTTCTCTAATGATGCACTGCAGGGTTTCTATACTGTAATTAAAACTGCATTATTACAATCAAATGTTTGAATAAAACATGATTTTTTTCCCGATTCTTTTCCAGATTTTTTTACATTTTTGATAATAAATTATTTTGAATTTCCCAAATAATCTCTATTCCACAATTATTTTAAAGTTGAGAAACACTTTAACTTATCTTTATTTAAAATAAGTCTAACAAACAGACTGATAGGAATCTTTAGGTGCACTATAATGTCACTAATAGTAATAGGTAATTGAATTCAGAGCTTTTATACTTTGTAATTATTATTATTTGTGAGCATTTGATTTATTTTCACTTTATTCACTGTAGAAGCAACTATTAAATAATAAACAAGAATCCAGATAAAAACCGATTTCTTGTTTCCCTGATCTAAATATTTCTTTCATCCCGTAAAAGGTTGGTCTCTGGCTTATTCCTGTCCCAGCTGGACTACGGTGATACCATTTATAGATTTGCCTGTCCCACTGTTTTGGCCAAACTTGACCCACTCTACCATGCTGCACTGCGTTATATATCAAATGCACCCTAGGACTCATCATTGCACACTGTGTAGCCTAACTGGATGGTCCTCACTTACTATGCGTAGGATGCAACATTGTTTTTTATTAATGTATAAAGCCATTTTAGGTAAGCTTCCACTGTACATATGTGTCAGATTTGCTCCAGTTAGTGACTCTTACAACCTCAGACCCAGTGCCTGGATACGGTTCCAGGTTCCTGCTGTGCGGACTGAGGCTGGAAAAAGGAGTCTTTTTTATTATGGTCCTTGGTCTTGGAATGACCTTCAATCACGCCTCAAACTGAGGGCACTTGTCTCAATAGCATGTTTTAAATTGAAGTTGTCTGAAGTCCTCACCACCAGCTGCTCTTGCAGTAATAAGTAGTACCTTTCTTACCGTCCTAATGTGCACAATGTAGTGACTGCTTTTCGTCTTTTGTTTTCTTAGTTGTGTTCTCTGTATTTTATATGTTTGTGTTATGTGTAATGTGTTATGTGTTATGTGTAATGTGTTATGTGTTATGTGTAACGTTGCTGCCTTCTTGGCCAGATCAGCATTGAAAATGAGATTGTATCTTTTATCAGTGTGCGTGCGTGCGTGCGTTTGTGGGTAGGTCCACAGGAAGACTTCTAGGGAACTTTATCTTAAAAACAAATCTGTGAGCAGTGCATGCTGGGAGATTTGCGCCCTCCTCATTACCAAGTTACTGGGAATTTAACCAATGCAATGTATAAATGCGGCGTAGTGGATTGGTATGATGCCAAACCAAGTTGTGTTGTGTTTATAATGCAAAGACAATAAAACACCTTAAACCGGTTCCTTGTTTCCCTGAACTAAATATTTATTTCACCATAGTAAGTGGAATGACGTACTTTAACAGAGTAACGGTTGATGAACACCTTCTCTGGAAATGAACAGTTAAAGTCTGTTGATTTTGGAGATGTTCGTAGTGGCTGGTAGCCAGGGTTTGAGTTATGTGGGAGCCAATGGGAGCTGAGCTCCCATAAGGAAGGGTCTGAGCTCCCATGAAAGCAGTGAAATCATACATCTGTGGGGGTCGCATTACCAACAACCATTATTTTAATCACAAATAATGCATGTGTCAATGTAATGAGTATTATTTACGTTAACGAGGTAAATAGGCTAAAAGAAAAACATGTTTTCCAAAAGAACTACGCATCTCTTGAATGACAATATGCATGCACTGCACCTCCAAGGTGCGCAATACATTATTGCGCACCTTGGAGGTGCTGCGTGTGTGTGTGTGTGTGTGCAGGCCCGGACTGGCCATCAGGAGGACCGGGAGGTTTCCCAATGGCCTTTTTTTAATGTAGCCTATTGTGAACGCAACGCTGCGCAAATGTAGGTCTGCCTCAAACAGGGTGACTGGCTGTCTATGATGTGGCCTGCCGACATGGCCACTGTCATACTGATCATACATTGAAATGCTCGATTGGTCTCTGTGTGTCATTCAAGCTCAGGAGGGTGTGTGTATGTGTGGCGCAAGCGAGCGAGAGAGAGAGAGAGCGTGCGCACTGGTTACTTTTATTGTTGTTGTTAGCATCTGGTGCTAACTAGCTGCGCTAATGGATTTAAGGAGATGTTTCAACAACAAGGTGGAGGGACAGCTCTCTGCTGTCAGACTGAGAGGCTAATAACTTCAGCTCAGGTGAGGTTAAGGACTCTCTGAGTGTTTAGATAGTTAACTTATCTCAGTGGGTCTCAAACGGTTTGGTCACCATTTATGTAAACACATATTTCCATTTTAGGGGGGAGTGATTAGTAAAATATGCTTGACTAAAAAGAAAGAAAATGTTAACTAGGTGAAAAAAGGTAAGATAAACTTTTAAAGTCTTTGCTGCTGCCTCAAAGAGGAGCAGGGGGGAGAGGAGGGAGACAGGAGAGGCTGGTTCAGGAGCCCAGACACACTCGCAACTATAAATGAACCAAAAATAAATAAATAAACAAGTTTCAATGTTTTTTCATATTGGATATGGTATGTTATTGGTTATTGCCATGTTCTTATGATTTTATGATTATTGAAATGTATACAGTTCTGTTTCATATGGGTGTTTCCATAGATCTAGTCTCTTTATTTCCCCCTCAAAGTGCACCAGATT